GGCCAAAGGGCGGGAGGAGGCGGGAGGCCCCCGCAACGGGTGGCCGCGGCAAAGCCATAGCAGAGGTGGCATACTCACGTCGCTGCGGAAGGCCACCCAGGCCGAGACCCTCTCCACGGGCTCCAGGACCACCACGCAGCACGGGCTGTGCTCCTGCCGCACCCTCTTCATCCACACTGACACAGGGATCTTCTCGCCACTGCGGCTGACCACATCCACCTGTGGACAAACAGGAGGCCCACAGCTGCCCGCCCCAGGCCCGGGCGCTCGGGCCTTTCAGCCCTGTTCACCCGCCTAGCACTCCAGAAGCTGCCCCGGTACACACAGGGTTCGACCACTCAGCACTGCAGGCTCTGAGGCCACTGTGTGGAGAGACGGCTTCTCCCTCCTCCGTTCCGTGGATAGGAGGGAGGAAGCAGGGTCTGCCACCTCTTACAGAAACACACCAACATGCCAGGGCGCGCCTCTCCTTCCTGGCAGCCAGACCACGGACCAGGGCTCTGACGCCATCAGCCCGACATGCGTTCCACACGCTGGGCCACGCTCAGCCCCCCATCGGCATCCAGGCGGGGTACACAACTCGGGGAGGGGAGCGGCCCCCAGGGAGGCGTGTCCAGGCCTGCCCGTTAAACAACCGAGAACACACGCACACTCAAGCGAGCAACACCGCAAGTTTCCCCGGGGTCTGACGTGCTGCTCCTCGGTGCAGACCCCTCGGGAGGAGGCAGCGTGGCCTCCCACGGCCTCCCTCTCTGGGGCTATCACCTACGACCATGCCTTCCGCTGAAGCACTGAGGTCACGTGGTGTCACAGGTCCAGCCACAGGTGGGCTCCAAGTGGGACCTCTTCTACTGCCCTGTCTCAAAGCCAGGCCGAGGCCGCCGCCCACTCACCACAGTGCCAAACACCACAGCGGCGTGGCCGTCGGCTTCCACGTGCTCCTGGCTGAGGGCTTTGACCACGTCGGAGTCCGACTTCAGGAAAAACTGCTGGAGTCTCCTACCAATCAGCTCGTGGCTGCTGTACCCCAGAAGCCTACAAGCTTTGTCATTGGCGACCAGGATCTGGGGTCACAGGAGAGAGGCCACATCAGTCCAGCAACATCCCCACGGCTGCACCAAGGCAGCGGGAGCCAGCAGGGATGGCCCATCTTCCCTGGCAGTGCCCACAGCCTTCTGCCATCCACAGGGCCACAGGTGCCACGCAGCAGGGGCTTCCAGGCTCGGCCTGGTGGGAGTGAGGCTGTGCCAGCCAGGCCCACTGCTCTCCTCCAGCCACGGCACTGTGAGGGGCGCGGCGGACGCCCAGCCCCAACGCCTCCAGCTGTCTGTAGACATGCACGAGACACACTTTCAGTGTCGAAGGACCGTTCTACGAGACCACTTTAAAACATTCGTGCAGGAACGGGTGGAGGGTAGGGCGGGCTCTGTGGCATGGTGGCTTGGGCAGAGACGTGCCAGGCATGTGCCCAGAGCCCCGAAAGGAGGACGAGATGGAGGAGAAGGGGCTGCAGTGCGACCACGCTTCCTCCTCTCCCCTGCCTGCCTCTCCCTGGTGAGCACACACACCCCTTAGCAAAATAAATAAAATACCCATTTATTTTGCCGTGAAAGACTTTTGAAATCCACACCCGGTCTTTTCATTGCCCCTGACCGAGGGTGAAGAGATAGGGGACCCTGAGAGGAAGGGCTGTGGCTGGAGAAAGGACAGACGGACGAAAGCGCGGTCAGCAGGCCGGTGTCTCTGCTGGAGAACACCATGGCCCCGGGCCGCCCCGCACTGTCTTTTACGGGGGATGGGGTGGGGGAAGCCATGGGCTTCTGCTGTGGTGCACCTCGTGGTTCTAAGCAAGCCTGTCCCGGCGTCTCACTGACCTCGGGTTTCTCTCTGTGAGGCCAGCAGGAGAGGATGTCTTTTTAGAGCTTCCCCACGCCCCGCTGCCCACTTCACAGCCTCCCTGCGTTTCTTAGCATGCATTTTGCACAAACATCCTTCTTTAACAGAGAGCACATGTGTGCACACAGGAGACACTGAGAGAGATGGCCTCGGCAGCATCGCGTCACCCTGCTATCCCCTTCCCCAGCTCTCCACGTCTCAGGATCCTGGGTGCCCACCTGCGCCTCAGGCAGGCCCAGGGACTGTGGGCCACGCAGCCTCCTGCGTGACCCTGTGCCTCAGCAGCGGGACCACTTCCCACGAACCACACCAGCGCGTCGGCAAGTACGTCCACTACCATCCTCTCCTTGACTGTCGAGGGGGGTCCTGCCTGCCGTGCTGATCCATGCGTAGTGCCCCAACGCCCTCCCCTCCTCCTGGACAGGTAAGCCCAGTGTTCCCAGGTGCACTAACACAGTCCCTCCATGTTGAAGGTGGAAGCCCTCAGCCTCCGCGGGACTGCTGCGTACAGCAGGTACCTCTGTGGTCCGGGCATCCACGGTGAAGACAGCCTTGTTGGGGTTGCACACAGGGGCCGGGAGCAGGGGTGTGGAGCAGCCCGCAGACAGGCCGCGCAGCAGGGAGCAGCAGGACGTGCTGCCCAGGGGGCTGGCCAGCTCGGTGGGCGCAGGTACAGCAGGGCAGGGCAGCCTGCTGCTGCAGATGTTCTGGGCGGCCAGCGACGACAGGCAGTAGGAGCTCCATCGGTCTTCTGCAAGGAGAGAACAGGGCCTTGGACGGCCGGGCTCCCCCCCAGCTCGCCTGGACACCCGAGCACGGCCTTTCCCTGACTCCTGCAAGCGGATCCAGGGAGTTGGCTGATCCACAGAGCCAACTCATGTGCCCAGCCCATGCTGAAGAGGGCCGGATCCCCTCTGCAGCTTCCAGGTGCTTCACAGCAGCACAGAGCAGCGCCCTGTCACAGCAGAAGGCCACGGCCCGCCTCAGTGTCTGAGGGCCCGTCTCCCTCCCTGCCCGGCAGATCCTCCCAGGCCTGCAGTCCCTCCCACCACCAGGCCACTGGTTCCAGTTAGTACAGGGAATTCCAGAGCTGCTTGTTGGGCCAGCAGGTGGCGTGGTGGTTAGGGCACTGAAGTCACACAGGGCCGACCAGTTTGTGTCCGACCTGGAGGCTTGCTTTCTCTCTTTTTCTCTCTCTTTCTCTCTCTCTCTTTCTCTCTCTGGTGAACGTGCGTGCCCTATAGCAAATTAAATAATAAAAAAAAAAATAAAATTCAATAAATATTTCTATTTACAAAAAGAGCTGCTTGCTGCCCACCCAACTGCTCACAGCGACACCCAGAGGCTCCTGCCTCTCACCCACACCTCCTTGGTGCCGCTGGGCCCAGCCGCGGTTCACCTAGTGCTCCCCTCCCAAGTGCTCTCGCCACCTTCCTGGCCCTCTGCTCCAAGGGCAGGCTCCCTCTCCCACTCCTCGGTGGCTCTGAGCGCCTTGAGCACGACACCAAGCTGCGACTGAAGGCACCTCTCCTGCCTCAGACATGTCGCCCCCTCTCCCACCAAATCCGGCTCTGCCGTCTCCCTCCTCACCCAAAGGGGTCACAGCCAGGCTCTGAGGCTGGGACCACATGACCATCTGGCTACCCCTCAACCCCCCTAGGCAGCAGAGGCCTGTCTAGCCTGACCTGTCCCTATCATGGCAGTGCCCTGCTAAGAACAAGCAGGGCCAGGCCACAGGTGAAGCTGCACTCCCACCTCACAGCCCTGCAGCAGCGAGCCCTCTTCACAGGACCCAGTACCCAGCCACCCAGCCACCACCCTCTGCACGGACAGTGTGGACTGGGCCTCAGCATCGCAGTCCTGCACCAAACTGCTCCCTCTCTCGACATGACCCCACCCCAAGCCCTTCAGGGCTACTCTTTGCTCTGGCTCCAGGACACCCGCCATCCCCAGGACTTCCCCACCTTCCAGGTCCATCCCAGCTTCAAGAATGCACCATGCAGGCCCCTCAAGCCCGTGCCAGACACTGAGCCCAAGGTGGGTGGCATTTCTTTCTTGCTGTGGCACAGGCTGTGGGGGTCTGGGCTCAGGGGGTGCCAGCTGGCTCTGGGGACATCGGCAGACTACGGGGCAGTGAGGGTCCTGTCCAGGTCCACGTGGAGAAGCTGGCTGGCCCCGAGCTCACGTCCGCAGTGAGGACCTCTGAGGGAGGAGTCCTGGCACCTTTGTCTGCGTCCAAGTGGGAGCCGGCACCCGCTGTCCAGGACCACCAGACACCTGCCGACTCTGACAGCCAAGCCCACGACAGCCTCTCCTGGGGAGGGGTAACAGCCTGGGCCAGCTCCAGGGGCAGCAGCGACCCACTGCTCAACAAAGGCCAACCCCGGGCAGCTGGATCCCATGGAGTCAATGGCACATTCGAGTCCCAGACCTGGGGCTTCCAGGGTACACTGGGCAGGTGTGTGCGTGCCCAGAGCCCCAAGAGGTGAGTGGGGGAACGGCAGGCAGCATGACCATCCCCAGGGGGTGCCTTCTCATTTCCTGCCTCCCTGCAGTGAACACACGTGCCCCACAGCAAGTTTAGAGAGAGAAGAGCTAGTCCTACACGGCGACAGGTCTGAACTGCTTCTGGGCCAGCCCGAAACATGTAGAGCTGTGCATGGCCACCAGGACCCAGTCAGACCCTGCACACGTGCTCCCGTGCGCGAGTGCACGTGTACATGTTTCTCTGCCCTTCAACTCTCAGGTGCACATACTCGGTCATGAATGAAGGAATAACCCAATCGAACCCGCCCCACCGCAGGTTCCAGCAGCTTGGGGGCTGGAGGAGCGGTAGGGTTTATCCGCTCAACTCCGCAAAGGCTCTGGGCGCCCCACAGCCTCATCAGACGCCCAGGACGCACCCTGTCCGCAGCCAAGATGCCTGAGAGGAAGGTCAGCTCAGCGGAGGGGCGGCCAAGGAAGAGCCCAAGAGATCGGTGAGGCTGTCGGCTAAACCTCCTGCAAAAGTGGAGACGAAGCCAGAAAAGGCGGCAGGGAAGGATAAATCTTCAGACAAAAGAGCGCAAACAAAAGGGAAAGGGGAGCAGAGGGGAAACAGGCAGATTTGCCTGCAGGAAATGGAGAAACTGAAAATGAGGAGCGTCCACCCTCTGCTGAAGCAGGCAAGAGAGAAGTCCAGTCTGAATGATGCCATATCCCGTGTCTTATCAGTGGGCCGTCTCCCTTCTTGTACGATCCAAAGGAATATTTTTACCAACTGTTTTGTAAATGCAAGTTTTTTAGTAGCTCTAGAACATCTTTAAGAAGGAGAGAATCTCACCTCATCCCATTTTTTAAGTGTAAATGCTTTTCTTAAGAGGTGAAATCACTTGCTGGTTGTTTATTTTTCAGTACAGCCAGAGAACAGTGGGTATTGACTCACAGGAGGTTCTCTCTTGTGCTCAGCCTAACATTCCGCATGTGGCGGGTGGGTAGTTTTTATATCCTAAATACAAAGCGAACGACATGGCAGTTTGGAGTCAGTCATGCACCTAATGTGTCTGGAATATTTTAAATGACTTCTGTATGTTTTTAGTAGCAGTGCTTCCTAAAGAAACCTACTCTGACTGTGGCTCTCCTGAGATCGTGTGCGCTGTGTAACAGCTTTGGTCGATTTTGCCTGAAGGATTGGAAATGTGAAGTGTGTAGTATGTGATACTAAATTGTGACTTGGTGGGACTTACGTAACAGCTTTCGACATCTGAAGACAGCGGTTCTTGATATCCTCTTAAGGAAAATCTGCCTACAAATTTGAAGCTGGAATGTCACTGGAATAACCTAAAAAGAATCACTATACTTGGCTTTTTAAATTTTTGGTAAGTATGTTAAGAATTGGGTACAAATTGAAATTTCTATTCTGATCCTTGACACAACCAGTAAATCTCAATTACAAAAGAAAAAAAAAAAAAAAAAAACCCAGGACAGCCTGTGGGGGGAGGGAGCGGCTGGGCCCACCCAGCTGACTGCGTGGTTTGGATCCCCAGAAACATGGTGGCGCCGGACGGGAGGGAGACGGAGGAGGGTCTGCAGCAGACCGTGACCACAGACGCTTTCTCCTCTGTCTGCCTGTCTGCCTCTGGCAAGTGCCTGTGCCTCTGGCAAATTTTAAAAAGAAAAAGGACATAAGAAAGCCACGGTGCTCTGCTGTTATCTGACCCTAGAACAGGGAGGGTGCACGGCCACGGGCTGCAGGGAGGGCCACGGGCCCAGAACCACCACAGCGCAGGCCACTGGGAAGTGCCCGGCAGCTGCATCTGGCCTGACAACTGGCAAAGCACCTCTGGGAGAAAGTGGAGCACCTCCCCGTGTCCCCACTCCAAAGCCGGCCCGCAAGGGCCAGTCCTTACCGGGCAGCGCCGTCCGGCTCTGGCAGAGTCTGGAAAGCCCACTCTTTCTGCTGGGGTGTCTGTGGGCCGAGGAAAATGACTCGCTGGGCTCGGAGGTGGTCTGTGTGGCGGGGCCCTCGGCCAGCGCTGGCCAGGGGAGGCTCCCGGACAGGCACCTGCGGTCCTCCTCAAAGGCCAGGAAGCCCGAGTCCTCCATCGGAACAGCGACCAGCCACCACTCGCCCTCCTCTGAGCGCCACCTGGGAACACATGAGCCTGCTCAGCACCGGGCACCACTGGCAGCCCTTCCTCACACGGGGCAGGCTCGCCCCGTCCTGGCTGGTGTAAGATGAGCCGGGCTCGCCTCGTCCCCGCGCTCTGAGACGGGCCAGGCTCGCCCTGTCCCCCTGCTCTGAGATGGGCCGGGCTCAGTCCGTCCCCGTCCCCGGCCCAGGCCCAGGCCCCGCACTCTGAAATGAGCCGGGCTCGCCCTGGCTCCACACTCCGAGATGGGCCGGGCTCAGTCCGTCCCCGAGCTCTGAGATGGGCCGGGCTCGTCCTGTCCCCGCGATCTGAGATGGGCCAGGCTCGCCCTGTCCCCCTGCTCTGAGATGGGCCGGGCTCAGTCCGTCCCCGCGCTCTGAGATGGGTCGGGCTTGCCCTGTCCCCCTGCTCTGAGATGGGCCGGGCTCAGCCCTGCTCTGAGATGGGCCAGGCTCACTCCGTCCCTGCGCTCTGAGATGGGTTGGGCTTGCCCTGTCCCCCTGCTCTGAGATGGGCCGGGCTTGCCCCGTCCCTGGCCCGGCACCGCGCTCTGAGATGGGCCAGGCTCGCCCCAGCCCCACGCTCTGGGATGGGCAGTCCAAAGGCAGACTAACAAGCGCCTGCAGAATAACACCCAGTGAGAGGCAGGCAGAGACGGGAGACAAGGGAGAGGCAGAGGCAGAAAAGGAAGGGGCCATGAAGGGCGGCTGCGGCCCCCGCAAGCCAGGAGGCTTCCAGGCCAAGGCTGGCAGGGCCACCATGAAGCCTCTAGCCAGCACTGCCCGCACAGTGCCCTGTCCCCGCTGTCCCTGAGCCAGCAGTGTGGCCAGTGACATGAGGCCACAGGGGAGAGCCTGCTTCTCAGGGGCTGCCTGGCACCAGGCTTCAGGCTTGGTCTTAATTTTTAACATCACTGTAGGTTCAGATGTAAATATGACGAGCAATATAGTAACCCTCACGTGCCCTCCCCAAGTCCCCTCCCCAGCAACACCGTGCATGACAGCAGTCGGTGTCACACCGCCTGCTGGCCCTGCTCAGGGGCGGGCTGCCCCTGCACTGTGTGCCCAGTCACTGCAGCCCTGCTGGGGCACCAGGGGTGCTGAGCAACCTGTCCCCACACCAGCAAGCACACGAAACCCAAGTGCAGTCTGCCGCTGGCCTCACGGCCAACTCAACAGCCAGGAGAGAACCCTCCTCCAGCAGAAGGGGGTCGGCCCACCACGTCATCCAGGCTCGATGCCCAGGGGTACAGTGGCCGCCCCAGGCTGGCTGGGAGCTCCTCCGTGAAGGGAGGAGCGCGGGGCCAACACTGTGTGCTCACTCAGGGCCTGCCCCTCTCCGAGCCCCACAGCTCCCCACCACGGCACAGCTGGACCTTGAGAACTGGCTAGTGAAGGGCTCAGCAAGATCGAGCTTGGACAAGGGGTGGGGCACCCCCACAGGGCACATAACCCCCGCCTCCGTGCAGGACACACCTGTGGTGGCCCTCCCATACCACTCTATTCCAGCTCGGAGTTCCAGGAAGCCCAGTCCTCCAAGGCGGCCAAGTGGTATGCACCGGCCCGGGCAGGCAGGGAGCACCCACTGCAGCTGTGGGACACTTTGTGAACTGACCAGCTTCACATGCGGGGGCCCCACTGGCCCTGTGCCCAGGCCACCTCGGCTGTCAGCTCCTGAGCTCAGCACCCCAGGGAGGGGTGGGAACCGACAGCCCCCGAGACCAGCCCCACTAGGGAGCACGCAACATGCTACACTCCGCAGAGCTACCGGGTCAGAGGGTGGCATGGAAGGGGCCAGACGGGCCGGGACATATCCGTCTCGGAAATGGGTCGTGTACACACAGGGGCCCAGCACATGACCAAGAGCCCCCTTCCCACCCGGGGGATGCCATCGGGGCACAGCTCTCCGGCTCGGTCCCCTCACGTGTGAGAGCACCGCGTGTGAGAGGTGCTCCTGTAGGGGTTCACGAGGCTGGTTAGAGCGGCTCGCACCAAGGCTTATCAGCTGGGGTCACTGGTTTTCGGAATCAGGTTGTCCGCTGAACGGTTGGGGTGAAATGGCGGCTCTGTCTTACCATGTACGGAAATGAGTTCCGGAGGAACATAAGGCCACAGATCAATGTTTTAGGAAACACTGGACTAGGGATATAGTGGGCTGCATTTAGAACACCCAGACCTCACCGTGACTGCTGTTTCGGCACCATTTTTGAGACCCTGGAAGGAGGAAAAACTTCTACCAGGTAAGACTCACACAGATGAGCTGAGGCAGAGCTGGGGGAGCGAGCGCTAGCCTCCGAAGCCAGGGACACTTGAGGGCCGACGCGGTCCCACCTCGAGCCGCCCTCACAGAAGAGGGTCCTAAATGCAGCCCTAGGCTTTCCCAAAGACTCAGATCAGCCAGAAGAGCTCCCCATCAACCAAATGGAGAGGGAAATAGCTACCAGGAGGGAGAGTCTGCAAAAAAAAAACAAAAAAAAAAACCAGACACACAGGAGCGCTAGATGTTAAACCATGAGCTGCGGGACATAAAACGCCTGTGTGTGTAAAGGTGTAAAAGACGGAGGCCCGACAAGTGAGCGAGTGGTAATCAGCTAGTTAGGGACCAGCAGTTGGCGTAATGGCTATGTCGCTGTACTCCCATGTAGTCAACTGCAGTTCAAGTCCCAGACTCGGTAGCTTAAACTCACACCAGGCGCGCGTGTGTGTGTGTGTGCCTAAGATCCCGAGAGGAGAATGGAGGAGAAGGGATTGCAGCGTGGCCATCCCCCCCGGGGGGTGACTTCTTGCTTTCTGTCTCTCTGTCTGTCTCTGTCTTTCCAGCAAGCGCACGCACCCTATAGCAAAAACCTCTCCAAAAAAAAAAAACAGGTAGCAAATTCTTTGTTCATTTTTTTAAGAATGATTTTTTTTATTTAATTTTATTCATTGTCATTATTATTTTATTTTATTTTTTTGAAGTTGACCAGAGAGAGACAGAGAAAGAGAAGGAAGGTGAGGAAGCAAACTGCCAGGTCCAGGACTCGACCCACAGTCAGCCATGTTGGAATCCAGCTGCCTTAACTACCACGCCACCTGCCGACCCCAACAACTAGGTAGATTTTGAGATACTCTTTCAGTTTCTTTTTTTTTTTTATTACATGGCCAGCCTATGGCCTGGTGGCTAAGGCAACTGGATGCTACATGGCCAACAATGCAGTCCGAGTCCCAGGCCCAGCGGTTTGGAAAACACGCTGGGCATGTGTGTATGCCAGCCCAGGATCCCAGGAGGAAGAAACGGAGAGGCGTGACCACTCACCATGGGGTGTGTTCTCATTTTCCCTCTCCATCTCTCTCCAGCCAGCACACAGGCCCTCTGGCAAAAGTTTTATTTTTTTATTAAATAAGATTTTTGCCTTGGGTGCATGGGCTCACCAGAGAGACAGAGAAAGACAGTGAGAGGGAAAGTGAGAAATCACACCCGAGGAGGGACCGCCATGCCACAATCCCTTCTCCTCCTGGAATTTCGGGCACACATCCACACGTGCCTGCTGTGATTCTCAAACTGCCAGGTCCAGGACTCGAACCACAGTCAGGCATAGGGTCCAGCACCATAGTCACGATGCCACCTGCTGGCCCCAGACGTTTTTAAATCATGGCTTTTAATCGCCAATATTTATATGGTACCCTGGGATCTTCGAAGTCACGCACAACACGTGGTATTGACGGCAGGCAGCAGACGTGTCCACCAGCGACAGCGTGTCACTGCTCTGTGCTGTAGGCGAGCGGGAGCCTTCCCTCGCTGCCCGGTGTCCAGCGAGCTGCCATGGACCGCGGCTGTGCTCTGCCCCAGCTCTCTAGAACTTACCTGCACCTAGCTGCAATTCTTTAAGAATGACTGCGTTTCATCGCGGTGCATCTTACAGTGTACAGTGTTGCCTTTCTAAGAGTTATTTAACTTTATTTATTATTATTTCTATTTCTAATTTGAACGGAGAGAGAGAGCAAGAGAAAGGGAAAGTGAGAAAGCAAGCCACCTGGTCCAGGACTCAAAGGGCAGTTGGCCGTGTGGGAGTCCAGCACCCTAACCACCACACCCCTGCCGGCCCGACAGCAGGGTTTTTAAACATGCTGCAACATGTCAATCAAGGCAAAGGTATTACCACATACATCGTCCCCAGCGGGGCACCTCCTATGCGGGTCTGTTCAGTGTTTCTTTCTCCTGCCCCTCCCGGGCAGCTCTGGCACCTCACGTGGCCGTCCCCGCTGCTGCACCTGTGCACACTTCTTTAAGGTCAATCATTTCTCGCTAAAAACTGTACAGTCTCATGGCCCGACAGAAAGGAGAACAGGAACAGGGCCACCGAGGAGGAAACCCTAGTGGCCAGTAAGCCTGTGACAAGAGGGACGTGCGTACGAGATGCTGACAGGGTTTGCACCCCCAAGAACTCTGTTACAACAACTGCTTCAGACGCCGCCCCGGCAAAATCAGGGAGAAGGATGAGCAGGCAGGAAGGGTGGAAACGGAACGGCCCAAATACTCAACAGGGAAACGGTTCAAATTCTGGTGTGTTCACATCACGACTTACAAAACCAACAAAATACACATAAGGAAAAACCTTGGCAATATAGTGAGTGAAAACAAACTGAGTTACAAAGAACAGTAAGACCCTTTTCTTACAAGGCATTCAGGAATCGAGCTCATCTAGAGACGCAAGTGTGTGTGATAAAGCCATTTCTTAAACAAGAGACGGACAGGCCAGCAGATGGCACAATAGTTACACCATCGGACTCCCACAGCCAACCACAGTTTGAGTACAGGACCGGGAGGCTTAAACCTCAAGCCAGGTGTGTGCGTGTGGGCCAAAGATGCTCAGACGAAGAGAATGGAGAGGGGACTGCGGCATGGTCATCTCTCCTTAGGGGTGACTTCTCGCTTTCTGTCTGTTTCTCTGGCGACCACACATGCCCTATAGCAAAAATCTCTCTAAAAGAATGAAGGGATGAATGAAGGGACGGAC